AAAGGACCGGAGTGACCAGGTTCAACTCCCCGCTCCCACTGACTTGGGGGCTGGGTCTTGGGGATGAGGTGGCCTTCTTGAGCTCTTTTCCTGCCTATGGGGATGCGGAAGTCGCCCTCCTGGGGCTGCTGTGAATGCCTAGAAAGCCTAGGCAGCTGCTGTGCCATGATTAATATTGACGACAGCATCACTTACTGCAGATCAAAAATGGACCTCTCCCGCAGTCGCTAGCGAGCGTGCTCAGCAGAAGCAAACCCAGGCGCTGTTCTTTTCTGAGTGTGTCAAGTTTCAGGAAAGCGAGCTCCTGGACTTGCACGCTGAGGCTTGGGCCCTGAGCCTTGGCGGCCACGTGCCCCAGGACCCTGTGGGGCAGCCGCCCCTCGATTCCCGACCTGCCGTCAGGACTGCAGCCCAGTGCTGCCTGAAGGGTCAGTGACCCTGTCTGTGGGGACACACGTTTCTACACAGACCTGACGTGGCCGGCAGAGCATTCTGCCACAGATGCTGGGACCTACTGTGAGTGGTGACCACGAGCAGACTGTGGACATTCACCTGCACTTCATGAGACTCTGTGTAAAGGGGACAGCGAACGGAACGTGTGCCCTTCCAAGCACACAGTAAACCCTCGGCAGCTCGCGTTGTGTAAACATGGGTATTTGTTTGGTTTTTAGCTCACACAGTGTGGGTTGTTATCTGAATCAGACAGAACTCTCCAGTTTGGGGGAGGAAAGGAAGAGATCCCACACTCCAAAATAGCAGACTTGTTCTGGTACAAAAGAAAAAAATCACTTTATTTTACAAGGCAGTACTTTCCTAAGGTATCAGAGGAAAGGTGAGCGTCTGCAGGAAAACCGAGCAGAATTTTAGGAAATTACAGAAGTCGACGTTGTGCTCAAAACTTTAAAAGTGACAGGTGTAAAAAACAGCGGAGGAAGTGAACGTTCCGAAGTGTGGGCAGCCCGAGGACGTGCGTGTGAACACAGCAAGGTGGCAGCACAGGAAGCCCCAGGCGACTGTCTCGCCTCAGGCTCCTAAGGGCACCGCCTCCATCTTAACAGGAAAAGGAGCCGCAGTAATGAAACCGGTCCTCTAACAGTCGGCCCTCGGTGACCCAGTCATGAAAAGGCCTAAACACAGATTCTACGTGGTGAATAATTCCGAAGCTGATTTTCTCTAGAGTTTGGACATGAGGAAGGCGCTCACTGCCCTGACGTAGGGAGCCAGCGAGACACGCTCACACCTGTCCCGCCCGCGTCCCTCGCCCTGCAGGGAAATCACAACGGAAAAGCCGAAAATATAACTGCTCCCTCCTTCTGGTTCACAGCTGCTCTGGAGAAGGGGCAGGAAT